CCTCTCAAGTAAACCCATATATGTGTTTGTGTCGGTTTAAAAAATTAAGAAATTCGATCCAGCCATAGACTTTTTAAAGTAATCCATAACACTAATATAGAAATGACGACCGTATTGAGAACGTAGCAAGGAAACCCAATACGGTGCTATAAAAGTGGTGTAATCTGATCCAGGTTTGCATATAAATAAACTAAACTTCACACTTATTCCGTGCTTGTGTTGTTGTCACTTTTGAAACTGGAAAACAATTCTGGACAATTTTATCATTTTTGGTCTCCATTGATAGTTTTTGGCACCTAATAAGGTCTAAAGATAATTTATATATTTTATATTACGTATATGTATGTACATATATATTTATTGTTCAAGTGGTCACGTATTTGGCTGCATTGATGAGCAAAGTTGATACGCATATGCAATAGTAAATAAGCATTTGTTTCGTTCGACTTTTCCAGTTTCCTTAAGGCGCCGGACTTCCAGGAAAGACTTAATTTTATTTGAACCATTGTGTCGAACAATGCCGTGTTTAACTTTGACTCGTTATTTCTTCCTCTTGCAAATGAAAATACTAACTTAAATGAACAAGAATCTATGTAGTGCAAGACAATTCAGTTTGGTTTTTGTGCCCCAAAATGTATCATTTCATGCGGAAGTAATTTAGAGGCCAAGTACATGAATGAAGATGGTACGTATTGTTCCCTCGAGATTTGCAGCATTCAGAGAATGGAAATTCGGCCGGACAAAGTAAACTAGAACAAGTGAAAAACTTCTGATTCTGATTCTTCATTCCGCCACAATCTACGGACAGCCAACAACGAGTAAGCATTTCAAGCAAACTGAGTGAGTGGAGCAAGTTAAAACTTAAAAGTTGCTTTTAGTTTTGCTGGTAACAGAAGTTTTTGTTAGTCTTGGCAATAAAAGTCTGTATGTACTCTCTTTTCTGCTACTGCTGGCTAGGGGCTCAACTTCCACTAGAAAATACTTTATACTAGATTGTGTGGATGGACATGGAAGTTGTAACAGTAACTGTTGAACGAGTCTGACAAAAACTTGGGAATGAGAACATTTTAGAATTAGTTAGGTAAGTTGTGGAGAAAATAAAAGTTTTAAAATCCTCCAGATTATTTGCGGGTCGATGGGATATTCTATTCATTCCTTGATCTCGCCTGGTGCAAGCAAATAAAGGAGAAAGCCTTGCAGATAGCTCGACGTCACTCAGTTGCCAAGTTTTGATTGACTTGTTAGGCGCTGCACCTCATGTTTTAAATGGACGAGAAACCACTCATGAATTAGCAACTTGGAAAGTTTTCCAAAGAAAGGAAAAAACACTTGTTTGGAATGCGAAGTGCCACCCACAATTCTACCCAATAAAAAATTCGATCCTGGCAATGCACATGTATGTGCAAGGCGTATGTGAGTACTAACGAGTAAAAGTGTATACACTTCATGCATGCGCATTTTCTCCATTTTGTTTTGCAAATTCTGTCAAAAAACAACTCAACCTCATTAAAGCTTGTTAACATTATACGCAGAGATTAGTCACCACCTAGAACTACACCACTGGGAGTTACAATAAGGTCAAAATTTGAATATCTTCTTGGCTTGGTCAGGGAGTCGCAACAGCCCGGGGTAATTGCCACCGTTTAGAACTTTTGGATAAGAAAATGAGTTGGAATAAATGAGCGAGATGTGTTTTTACATAATTGCTGAAGAAAACAAGAACAATTCCCTGGCGGGTGGCTATAGGCAGGCATAGACCACAACAAGTTTTTAAACAGAGACGCAAAGTTCATTCTGATGATTATCAAGACCACTTATTCATTCTGTCATGGGCGCAGGACCACCACCTTCGCTCCACTTGCCAACTACACAGCAATGAAATGCGACCGAGCCAAGTTCATGTTAATTGGAACAACGATACAACAACCACTCCAAGAGGACCACTAAATTAAACTAACCATGCACTACTCCTGTGAATAGCAATGAATTGATTAGAACCCTGTACTATTTCGCAATATAAATTAGATACACATCTGCTGGACGTATGTAGGTACATATATTTAATTGCCAGAAAAATCAACATTGCGATAGAGAGAGAACATCTTCAACTGAAATGGTGTTTATAATTTAACTAAAAGTAGTAAATTTCCAACCCAAAGGAGTAAAAATATTCCCTAATATAGAATAATTTATGGAGGAAACAATACATAAGTGTACAAATAAGGACTGGAATTAAGACAGCGTGCTAGTGGACAGTAATATTTATGGCTTTGCCAAAAATCACCAACATCTTTGTTGAAAAATTGTTCAAATTCGATGACAAGGGAGAGAATTATTGTTTTGTTTTGTGCGGTTGTTAGCTTTTCCTTTACCCTATTTTTTGCCTGAATGATCTGCAAAAAATTCAGACGAGTCAGTAGCACAAAATTTTTGCAAGGCTTTTCAAGTAGGAAAATATAACAAAGAAACTTCAATGATGAACTAAATATTTAAAATATTGTGTATGCACTTAAGTTTTTAATGCAAGTTTGACATAGTAATACCACGTTTCAAGCAGCAAAATGCATTCTGTTGTGATGTTTGTGCAGTCGTTATTAAATTTGCAGCCGCCCCAGAGATTCCAAAGAATGAATATAATATATTTCAATTTTAGTGCAACAACTTCATACTGCCACGAAGCGAAGGGAGGTAATAACGTAAGAAGCTTTATTGCAATCCGTACGTGCTAACCATCAGCATATGCATCAGTGCATATACATAGAAAATGTGAAACTGGAGTGGAATAATAATTGAAAAACAAGCCAAGAAATACGAATGTGACAAAGCACATGTTTTCAAAGCAGTTTGTTCCCTTTCGCTGGAACGGTAATTTGAGTAAAATGGACGAGGTAAATTCCACGGGCTGACACAAGACATATCTGTTTACACCCCGACCAAGTGCTGTGTCCTCCCCCATTCTCAACAAGGAATCATTATTTCGACTATATAACTAACAGCTCATTTACTTTGAGTAGATGTCAGAAATAATTACTGGATTTCACCCCTCTCTTTACCCTCGCCATCAAATTTCAACCAGACTCATTGCTTTCACCCGTCCCACATACGCTTATGTAACTTATGTACGGCTGCGGCTTCTTCATCCTTGTCTCAACTTCTCCTCCAAGGAAAGGAACCCCAACGACACTATCCTTCCATCCAACCAACGTCTTGAGCATATCTCTGCCTGCACAACTGTGACAGTTAATGTATTAGTCAACAGATAAAGAGGAGTCAGGCGACTTTGAAGTACCGAAGAAAACACGAAAAAGGATTCACTCCAGCACAACCATTTGAACCTCAACGTATGTATTTGCCCGGATTCCTTACAGTCAAAAGACTGTAAAGAAGCTCGTTTATCGCTCAAGAAATCCATTCTCTTGTCCAACAAATGGGCCATTGGGTGTGCAAGTTGTGTAACACGTAACCTTTGCGACGTGCATTTCTAACCAAGCGGTAGTACAAACAGATGAGAAAGACGCACCAAAGAAGAGAATAGTTACCCGTGCATCTCTCCATTTCATCTTATCTTGGCTCTCTGTATAGATCGCACACTTCAAGAAAGAGGCGAAATCATCAACCAATATCAGCACAACACACACATATGCAGTAAAAACTTATCACAATCAAATCAGAGTGCAAAGAAAGAAAGAAACAATTTTACTTTCGCGTCACGTTATTGATATCCGTCCACATCATAAATAGTGCATTGTGTAAGATCATAAGACTGCACCAACTTTGGTATACACGCGTAGGGTATTATTTTACGCAACAGTAAAAGTTTCAGTAAAATGCGACTTTTTCTTTCTTGTGCTATTAAAACGTTTGTTTCCGCAAAGTGTCGAAACTTGCCTTGGCGTAACCTTCATTCAGTGTCATGAATTTATCATTTTGTGCATTGGTACATGCACGAGTGCTAAATGTTGGCCCACGCCTCCCAATTTTTATTCTCGATGTGCCGTTGTTTCGTTGACAAATATTTCTCTTTCGGAAACGATCACGAATTTATATAGTCAAAATAAAAGTCTCTTTTCTCTCTCTCTCGTGAGCTTATAAATGCTTTCTAGTTTTACACAGTAAGCAATAAAGTGCAGAGTATATTGCACTGTGGTTTCGGTAGCTCGATTGACAGGTTCAATAAGTCCCTTAAATTCTCGCGGAGTGGGAGGAGACGCAACTTTTCCAAACTAAACGAAAGTTTATGACCCAGGCCGACATGCATTCAGTCTTGACTTTGGTTGAGATCTCATGCAGAATGTATTCCTCTCAGAATATATTTCAGTTTGTATTTTATTCTTAAAGCACCCACCACCAACTGCTGATTCCAAGTATTTATATAACGAGAGAGAAGCAAAGTGCATCTATCTGCTGCTGTTATGCATGAAGGGAGGGAGGAGGAGGAGGACCCGATCCTCACACTTTTCTAGAACTTTTCACTTTTGAGATGAGAAGTATTCAGTTGGAGAACTGAATAAGAGTTCTTGAGAATTGAATAGTTGTCGAATTCTTTGGGTGGAACCTTTTGCATGCATTTTGAGAAAGTCCTTTTTTATTTCTTATTTCGCTTCTATGCATGACACCGCTTGGTTCGTTGTGTGGGAGGAATCTACGCTGGCCAGGCACATTGCGTTACTGTATGAAAGTTTCATTCACGAGAAATGGGACAAGAACAGTTTTGTTGGGTCGTAAAGATGAAAATTTGTGAGACTGAGGGACTTTTATGAAAAAAATACGAGACCGTTCTCCGCATTCAATTCCAACCAAATCAATCAACCTTCACGGCGTACCGAGAACACCAAACCTCATTGTATGCATTTCTATCTTTTGATTGAGAAGCTCTCGAGTTTCTGCGGATCAATAACTCAATTGTTGTTGTCCAAAACATGCACGACAAAGAACCCATTTGTTGATGGGATGATTTGGTGAGGTGCGGTGGTTGTCCATTGATGGATATGTTTTGCTCGCTTTATTATTCAGAAATGAGTGATCCCCATCCCCTCGACATCTATAGGGGTGAGTAAGGAGATGTATATATATAAAAATAAAACAACGTTAATTCTTTAAAGGACATTTGAATCCCGTCCTCATCTTCGTTCAAGAAAGTGCAATTTGGCAGATATAGTTTAAGATAATCAACTTCAGTTGCTGATCCTTAACCTATTAGTGAAAATCGCTGTGAATTGATGTTTAGATAAATTGATTTGCGACATTTTATAACGTTATTACAACACATTTTGTATACATTTAGTGCATTCGTAATTGATACATAATGTTTAAAAATGTGAAAAATTTATGGTAAAATAAGCCCTAGTCTGTTGCCGTCTAATGTTGCGGAGAATGGTTCAGGAACAGGATGATGGCCACAATCTAACCACGCTTTCAAGGAGCACTTCTTCTTGTTAACAGGACACGATTCAATTTCCGAACTGCATTAACTCATTTCAAAACTTTTCCAAATACGACGTTTCTCGGTTAATAAAACTTGATTTTCTTCTCTGAACGGTTTGCGTTTTTGCCACTATTGACCATTGAAATTTGAAACCCATCCAATGTGTTGGAAGATAAAATATACTTTCTCCATCACTAAAGAATTCAAGGTTTCCTTGATCATGACCTCCAGCACGGAAAGGAATGACCATTTTCGGAAGGACTAGGATCAATCTAGTACTAGGAAACTGGGTTAAGAATATGCTCGTAGTTAGAATCAGGCTCATAATGTAGGGATTAAAATTAATAATTAAACACTTGCACGATAACTTAATGTCTGAGACAACGTACACATGTTCAGTAGTTACGAAAATTCAATATAGAACAATATGCCAATCTCAGTTGTGATATTGGAATGACTTTTAAACTAATTAGAAATATTTACAAATAACACTACATATTTATGCTTCAATCCTGAACATCGTCAAAATTTGCGGAAAATCTTGGTTCCACAACCTCATGACCACAATCAGCAATTATGACATCTTTCAATGGGACGTTGTGTGAGGCTGGCGTTGTCTCAATTTGTTTCACCACTTTCATACCCTTCAACACTTTCCCAAGGATGACGTGCTTCCCATTTAAATGCGGTGTTTTAACCGTCGTGATAAAGAACTGCGATCTATTCGTATCTTTCCCAGAATTTGCCATCGCCAGCCACCCATCTCCACGGTCAAATTCCAGAATAAAGTTTTCATCTTCGAAAGTGTAGTCACTTTTATCTTCAAAAATGCTTCGTCCCCCAGTGCCATCCCCTTTGGTGAAGTCTCCTCCTTGGATCATGAACTTTTTTATTACTCGGTGAAATTTTGAACCTTTGTACCCTTGACCTTCCCCCCGCTCACACAGCGTGACAAAATTCTGTTTTAGAAAACGTTTATTATTATTAGAGTTTAGTTTTAGAAAACGTATAAAAAAGCAAAAAACGCTCCCCTTACCTTTGCCGTCTTTGGAACAATTTCACCAAACACTCCAATCTCAATTCTACCGATTGGGTTTCCTTCTATTTCAATGTCCAGCCATATTTTATCCGTAACAGTTAATGTAGTATTCTCTTGTGTGGCCAAAATTGTTTGAACACAAAATAAGATAAGCACAGCGCAGTAATTCATCTTTTGTTTTGTGACTACCTCCCACAAGTCGAAAATATCAGATATGAATTGCACTAAATATTTGAGCTAATAAAATTCAAAGTTAGAATTTATTATGAGATTGCTCACCAGTGAGTTCATAAACGGCACGACATACGTCGATATTACTTATGCAAGTATGTATATAAAATAATAGTGCCTTTGTGTGTTTTAATGCTTCAAAAAAATCATAAAAATTACTGCCTTGATTATGAAAGAAGCAAACAATTAAAAAGTTTCATATCCAAAACCCAAGGTTATTATTACGAACACACTCACTGGTTTCATTAATGTGTCTGAAAGTGTGTACTACAACACCTTAATCATGCATATCTGCATCCGCTTTTAGTTACATTCTTTTGTTCTCGTCGTACGTAAGCAGAATTTTAAATTTTGCATCATGACAACATTATTGGTCGGCTGCACCAAAATGACGTTGGTGAGGCAAATTCACACTTTCGTTCCTCGCATGCAGCACTGCTTGGTGATTGAGGGAGGAGGATGGAGAAAGTTTCGGAGACGTGAAGGAAATCAGGGTGCTTTTTGACAGCTGCCAGTTAGTGGTTACCGACATTTCCGCAAAATGAAAGCCCACAATGTGAGCAATATTTATGAGAAGGGGAACTCCTATAATCTTAATCGGTCGGTAGCTGGTTCGTTTCTTGGTGTGCATTATAATCATCTACCTTTTGACTATTACCTCGCGTATTATGTTGGTCGGCAGTGGTGGTGGTGTGGTGGTCAGCAACCTTTCCCATTCAACATTACTTGGTCAAGTTGATAGGATCTAGATGAGTTGTAGTATCTTGGAGTGGTGCAGAGGGTGAAGAGAGGAGTAGGCACTCGTATTTTTTATAACATAATTTCTAGACTGTGATTGCGTGATGATTAGATCGCATGCATGCAAATTAAACATTTCTCGACATGATTAAACTTATACTGGACTGCTTTCTTGTCAACTCGAGCTCACACAAAATGCATAACTTGGTTAACTATGGATTGCATACATAGTTCGTAAAAAGGAATGTTTCACTCCCATACAATGTGCATGCTTATAAAAATATGTATGTACCTATGCATGTATACCCGCCATCATACATAGTCGTCATTGTCAACCGCTTTTGGAATGTCCCACTCACCGTTCCATGTGTGTTGTGGAACGATTTGCAGATCGTAACCAAGATTGATGTTAACTTCGAGCTACAAAGTCGTCGTACAAGGCACTGCTGTTGGTGGAGCAGGTAAATACAAATGTATGTGTATATAAGTTTTGGACGTTTTCTGATTGCGTTGAATATCTGGTTAGCAAAATCTTTGCAAAATAAATAAATTGCATGGGTTTTATATGAGTTGTAAATTAAAAGCAGGAATGAAAATGACAGAAATTGAGATTCAAATGTAGATTACTTCCTGTTTGTGTGCAGAAAACAAACTTTTGTTGATGATTGTGTAAATAATTATAGCGTGCCTGTACCTGTGCTACATATGTACAGATTCCAACTGTTTCGATCCGATTGCTTTGAGAATTCAGTCAACATTTACGACCGTACTTTTTTCTTACCGAAATTCGTCTATCAAATATTATTTAAGCCAAAACGTGATGCCTTTATCAAGTAAACTAAAACACAATCTTTGCTCCTGTACAACGGATCATTAAATCAATCCACTCATGATGAAGACTCATTTAATAAGATCAGGATGAAAAACCAGCTTGTATGATTAACCAATCGATTCAAATCAGATCAACTCTACCAAATTAAGTTGATTGAGAAATGTAAATTGTGGAGATTGCAACAAATTCGACAACACACATCATCATCTGCGTCTGGTCTAAATAACATCCCACTTTGATCTTGGTATTCGATGCGGCATAATAATTACTATCTTCTTGCTCCCCAACACTTTCTTCTCCGCTACTCGCAACATAATGCCAACTGCTACCCTCACTCACGTAAATTTTCATTTACACGTCCAATTTATTTGATGCGTAATGTAATGAGGATTCGTCCCAAGTAATAATATAGAGCTCACAACAGCAACGTTTATGCTGATGTAAAAGTCATGGTGTTTCTAAAGTTATGATGATATAAGGTGAAATTAGAGGCCGATAATGCATTGACCTTTGATTGATCTACCAAACTTTGCAATTTAAATAATCAAATAAGTGCTTCTTGTGCAAATGAATCATTTTCAAATATATTTGTCAGACATAAATATATTCTGCATAAAACACAACAAACTTCAATTGCAATAAAGTTGTTAAAGAATGAAATCTGTGAGTTTACTTGAAGACATTTGTGACCTTCCTGAAGAACAGGGTGGGCATTTCCTTTTCCTTCTTTGTAATTTTCACAGAAGCGTAAGACTTGTATCCCTGTTCTCGCAATTGGTCGAGAATCATTCCCATCATGATGCACTTTCTCTCCCTGAGCAGCTCTCCCAGCCAAGGAAATCCCTTCAGCTTAAACTCAAAAGACTTGCAGTAGCTGGGCGCACCCTGTTGCAGACCCCATGGCCAAGTGGTCTTGATGCTTTGTGCCATCTTATTGATGACCAAGGGCGGAGCACCAATCACTTTAATCCTGTCCTGCTTGGGAAAGTTCATGCAGATTATGTGGGCTTCTGGGTCGTCTTCTTCCCCCTTCTCGAAGAAAAGCACGTCTTTCCCCTTCTCCGTCTTGGCCAGCTCCATCCCTATCGCAAAGTTCCAGCCATGTTTCGCCAGCTTTGAGAAAATGGAAACCAGGAGGGACCGGGCGCAGACGGCGTTTGCATCCGTCCTGAACTCTGACCATGCCTTCCAATTCAACTGATACTCGAACGAGTCGGTGACGGACTTGGGGAGATGGAGTCGCCCACCCCACGCGGAGATGAGCTCAGTTATTAAAGGCTCCATGCCTTCTGGACATTGGTGAAAACGGATATGGTCACGCTTATGACGATTGAGTAGGGAAATGCTGAATACTTTCAGGGAGTGTGGATAGGAAGCTGCTGGAGAGGTGACGATTGGTAGGATTGGAGAAATGTCCTCTTCGCCGTTATTTTCATTCGAAATTGAATCAAAAATTTCGGAAAGCAAGTTGTCGTCGAGTGGAGGCGATGAGTTGGGAGAGAGCAGTGGTGATACTTGAGGAGACATTGTTGACGCCTTTTTTCTACCAGAAATTAAAAACAATATAGTTAAGCACTCAATTAAAATTTTGAAAGATTTTCCCAATTTTTGGCTTACTTTGTATGTATATTAGACGAATGTCACTTGATGAAATTATTTATGCAACTTCATTGACAACTTCGACTGAACAAGTTTCTTGGGCCGACTGATACTGAGGCACATTAAGCCTGGTTTATTTAAGTTTCACTTAACGGACCTAACTTATGGCATTTCGTAGACGTGACTCATATTGGTCTCCGTTGATAAGGACCAGTGTAAATACTAATAAATATTAATGTGCTGCTGTGCAAGTGTTATAGTGTAAGAAGAGCACTCGAAGTTGTCAAATTCTACCGATGAGATTAGGCCAGAGTCGTAACACAGTGGTAGAAAAGTATATTTGGCAAAATTATCTCAAATTTCAATAAGAGAATGACACGATGGACATCCGTTATGCTGTTCTTATGTAAATAAGTCGTGCTCAACGTTAGCTTGAGAACTATGCAAGTCACTACATGGAAAGAACTAGATTATTGTACTAGTTTATATATGTAAACAGTTTATGTTTGTTATAATTTCAATTCAATGTAGGGCAGATATTTTTACAACCCTTTTAATCTAGAAGCTATTGTAGTCCTTGAAATAAAAATTATCTACTTGCTACATACATTCAATTTTAATCTGTCATGTGTGTACAATAAATGAAAGATACGTATGCTCTGAAATTATACTCCATGCAAATTTGTCCTTGTTTTAAAATAATTAATATTAAATTTAAGAAAGTGGAATTATTTTGAATCTTCCTTATCTAACAATTACAATCCATGGTATGACAATAATACAGAATTTCTTTGTATAAATTTATATTTTTAATAATCATAAATTTTACATTATAGTCAAGCTAGCAGATCTGGAAGTGAATAATATTTAGTGAGTCAGTAAAATTCAAGAAAAGACCTGAACACCGACCGTCTGTCGTCTTATCGTCTCAAATTTAACTAGAAATTCCAGAGCATAAATTCTTGGCCTAAGAAAAAATTAACAATTTGTAATAATCGTGAAACATGAACGAGTCCAGATTTTCTTGTATGGAGAGAATCTCTCGTCATCAGGAACAAAATCCCAACCAACTGCAGCCTCATTTCTCTGCTACTAAAAACTACATAAATTAGCTAATAAATTAGCTAAATTGAGAATTTTTGATTAACCCGATGACCTTGTTCCACCACATCTTCTTTTGTGCTGTGCTATATTTTAGGCATTTTAAAATGTAAAATATTGATAGCAGTCAGATAAATATGAAGACGAAGCATTTACAAGACAAGGTCATTCTCCAATCATAATAATGTTTCTGGTGGTCGGGATCACAGGTGCAAGAAAAGAAATAAATATGTCAAGCTGCATCTTTTGACCAAACTCGAAATTGGAATACATATTAATTTTTAAAAGGTACATGATTCATTTTCCAGGTTACAGAAATTGGTATGCCACCCACATTGACTTATCCAAATATATATTAACCTGCTTATTCAACTTTTACTAAATTACTTAAATATTATGTTGCACTAGCAATTCATAAAAATTTGCGTGTTCTTGGTGGGCAAAATTATAATTTAAAAAACGGTCAGTGGGCTAGGTAAAGATACTTTTGGGGGAAGGGTAGCTATGAGGAAAGACGAGTGAAAGTCCTTTAGGAATATTTCTGCATTATTTCAATATTCAATTTATTAGCATTTGACATGGCCATGAGCCCTCATCAATAGAAATTACAGAGCTAGATATGTAAATGTAAATAAAGTAAAGTAGTCAGAGGAATAGTGGGAAAACCTGGCTATGGTGTAGAGCCAGGAAAACCACTATCACCTCTGGGAATGTGGCCCAGAGGTCCATTCGGCTCTGACTACATCACCCAGGCAGGACAAATGAGTGATAGGGATCATAGGCAGATTCCGCGAGGAACTGCTGATATCCAAATGAGGACGGCGTCGTGACGGCGGAAGCAAGGTGAGTGAAGGTTGTTGGGCGGGGCGTCCACGGACCACGAAATACCTTAGCGCCCTCACGGGCACGGGCTACGTGTCCCCTTCACGGTCACACAGTGTGACCAGGGCCGAGCGACACTACCCACTTGCCCCTTCACCCCTCACAGCACAACCGGGCCATGGGACCCCCGTAGGCCCGACTACACTGCCCACCGCCATGCACGACCCCGTCCCCACTCTTCTACCAACCTCCCCCACGGTCACCACCCCGATATACCAAACAATGACCTACCTGGGGGGAGTCCTCCATGGCGTAGATCCTCCCGTGCACTTGGTCCGGCGAATCCATCTTCGCCTGATGGCTCGGCTTGTCGTTGCTGGGACGGGTGTGGCAGGGGGTGTCACCAGGCACGCAGTTGGGGGGTGTGAGTGGACGAGGCTCACAGGGCGAAAAGCCTGGGACACACTTCACTTGCCCTGGCACACCCGCGACCCAGATGGAAGAGAGAGAATCCAGTTGCAGAGCGAGAGAGAGACACGTCGTGCACGGTTGGAAGCCAAAGAGGATCTCTCTTTCTGCATTATTTAACAGGAAAATTTAACACTGACATTTTTAACGGCTGCAAATTAAATATTACTTTTTTTCATCAAGCCTAAATTGTACATTTTTCACCATCGAGTTAGGTATAAGCATGGTATTTTTGTTGTAAAATTGGAAGATTTATTTGCTCATTATTTTCTATCTGTAAATTCTTGGCACTTAAATTTTACTGAATCTAAAACATACGTAAAATCGTTTGTTTTAAAATACTCTGCTACTTATACATATCTTCTTTCTAAAATGAACCAAGTTCTTTTCTTTAATCAAAATTCGCAATGCTTCAAACTACCTATATGCAAGTCTATAATTCTAATAAATTCAATAAAATTTAGAGATATGAGTTTCTGCTAGGAATACGTACTGTTACTTTCCCAATGTTTCTGAACCATGCTAAATCTTATCATTAAACGAGCTGTTTTTGATAAAGCAGTTAGCTTAGACTTATTATTTAGTTGGCTAGTAATAATCAAGCCATGATAAGCGTATAACGATAAGGATTTCACATTAGTCAGCCAAGAAGCTTGTGTTACCAACAATTTCTCAGTGGGTTTATTATTTAATAACAATAATCAGTACCGAAATGAAAAGTGTTTAACTAGTGTTTACCCAGTAAACCAGCGTGCATGCTACTTCACCTTTCAGTCCTTTAATAACTTTAGTCGAAGAATGCAATGGAGGAAAACTGGTCATAAATATTTAGGGACTTCTTATCACGGATTTCTATCTACAAACGTATGTTATAAAAATGTAAGGCTAAGCATAAGTAAGTATAAGTAAGTATAAGTAAGCATAAGTAAGTAATGTAAGGCATAAGCGTTGCTTATTCCATCCAGACATTCAAGTCCAACCACAATCTTTGTAGTCCTTACCCCTTCTTCGGATCAGATACAGTGTGTGTCGGATAAGGGATGTTATGTGTCGTTGTCACGCTATTTATAAACCCTGAATGCAATGCAACAATATATCCCAAAAAGCACGAATAACATAGCATTTGTCCATGTATGAACAAACTTGCTGCCCGTCCACTACATATGCATGCAATCATGTTCAGCAGATAGAAAAGTACAAAAGTTAGCATTGATGATATGACCCATGTGTGCCTATTGTTTAATTGACTGACAATAAGTAAGAAAAATAACAACTCTTAACAACACACAATATTATTGTCACTGGATGCAATGGATATTTATGTACATATTTATATATCTACGTAGCAGTTGTAAACAGTAAACATGAGTAAAGAAGTTTCTTGAATTTATGAGTAACAATCCTATGATAAATACATAAGACTGTTGTACCCATATGTACATATGGGATGACACATTGTCAAGTAATGTTTTGAAACTACGCTGACAATGGAGGCGCAAACCATGTTCAGCCCAGATTATTTTTTGACGATGTTAGTTTGGAAGAGCAAGTCTCTAGAAACAACATTTGGCTCGGCACTTGCGCAGATGCGCAAAATTCAGCAAGTTATGGGCGCCACAAGTTCGCAAAAAGTGGTCGAGAGTGAGCTCGCTCTGGACTTTGCATCAAAAATCATGCGTTTTGCGAACTCGTGGCGCCCATAACGTGCTGAATTTTGCGCATCTGCGCAAGTGGTGAACCAAATGTTGTTTCTAGAGACTTGCTCTTCCAAACTAACATGGTCAAAAAATAATCTGGGCTGAACATGGTTTGCGCCTCCATTGTGAGTGTAAAATTGGATTTATTCAAATTCATTACAGGTTGATTTTACTGTGAAAAAATCGGATATCATCACACCCAACAATGACAAGGGTGACAGGGATGTCAAAATTTAAGTTCAGGTTATTCTAGTTACAGAATACAAAATAAGTATGTAGTCATATGTACATATCTATGTGAAAATCGTGCATTATCCATCAGAAAGTAAAAGGACTGATAAACTTTGGCCACGCAATTTAGAAAAATATCAAAATAGTTAGTACGTATCGGTAATTGTTAAGTAACTCACTGCGTATTCCTACCGAAAATGAGAGAGGAAATTTAATGGGTAACATTAAAATGAAATGAAACATTAATACGATGCCACTGTATAACCAGTAAAGTTTTTACGAGATTTCCATCCCAAACCTGCAGGAATTACAATTGCTTCCTTTTAGAAAGAAACAAAGTGTACTAAACTTAATTTTATGGTGAAAGCATTAAACACGATTTCTACACTTGGTTTATGAGGCTCGGTGTTAAAATTGCGAGAGGGAAAATAGCAGACAGCCAGCTGTTATGTAAGGTGTGTGGAAATGACCCATATTAAGTGGGCAGCTAATGTTTGCAATTTGTAATACAATTTGCAACTTATGCTTTTTGGATTGTCAGGTGTTTTGCCGATTTCTACCCCCAACCGGGACCAATTTATTATTATTACATCGCCGTGCAACATTCGCAAACCTCAATTCCTTTGCTCCATGGGTGTTTGGAACTCTTTTTTTTAGATTGGATGATTATGGGGTTGGTTCGTTTCACCTTATTTCTGCAAGCACACCTTTCATGAGCAAATTTCCTAAACATTCCAATACATGATATACAGTATTTAGCAGGAAAACGTATATAATATACATATGTATATGTACCAAGACTAATTGTAAGCAAGTTGGTGTAGATCGAACCTATGTACATACTTATTTATACATATTTTTTAGAACATTTTTTTCATATTTGTTGTGTGTATTATTTTTCAAAGCGTTCTCTATACTATTGTATTACTAGAGGATATGTATAAGTACAACGTCTGAATATATTTTAGCAGGAAATCATTCGGAGAGAGTCGAATGACGATTCTAAAACGTATGGTATTTGATTATGCATCCTAAGATTATATGTTTACGTATTTGCGAATAAATATGTATAGTCCATTCACTCGTATTAATTATTCTCGACAGGTACAAAGGCATGATAGTTCATAAATCTCGATAATATAGTTGCTTAATTAGTACAATCTACTAGACTGCAACCTATTAAAACACATTGAAAATTAACTCCCTGGAGGTACGTTGATTGTCTTCACTGAAAATAATTATTGCATTTGTTATGTAATTATGAATCATAAAAATGATGAACGCTTGCATTAAAAATATTGTTGTTTGCTAAATAACTCGCCACAAGGGTGGTTGTACATTTTCCGTCGAAATGACGGAAATGAACAATGAATCAAAAGCCAGAGCAGGAGGTTGCATTAAATTAGAACGGGGACTGATTTCAAACCAACTAATTACATAATTTAGGACGGTATTTTCGTTTAAAATTGAAACCAGGAACAAAAATATGTATGTACATCAGATAGGCTTGTTATAAGTAGTAAAGTTCATTTCCGCGTTGCCTGATTACCTTATTTTAAACTTTTCCCTCAAGTACTGGGCATTGCTTAAAAAGCTTAATAATTATAAGTGTTCGACAACAAATGAAGCCTTGAGCATTTTGTTTTATTTCGCCTGGAGTGTTGGATATTTGTGATTACACAGTTATGAGAAGGTTGTTACTTCGGTATTGGTCGAAGAGGCGTGAAAAGAGCACGAGGCTATTAATCAAGGCTAGTTTGTTTCATTGTCGACGCATTTAAATATGTACAACAAAGGTGATTATTGTGTGTTCATCTTTTATTTAACAGAGTAGTATCTTCGGAAATGGAAGTGGGTGATGAAAATTAGGTGTGAAAACTAAGGTTCGGGAATATTTATTGTTTAAATGACCAGTTTGTTCCCGACTCTCCTCTCCATTTTTTTCTTATGTTTATCATGGGATGAGGGTTCATCTTATATTATTGAGAATTCAGATTTTGGTTGAGTCCTAAATTTACAAATCACGAAACTGAATGCTTGTTCAAATTGCATGCCTTCACGATATGAATACTGCAATTACAATTCCAGTTTCATTAGAATATTTATGTATGAATGGAGCGTGTCCACTAACAAGTTCAGAATCTTCTCAAAATAGAACCATTTCCAAATTTGGAATCATTAAAATGATTCCACATTCCTTGGTTTAAAAAGTTTATGATTTACACCATAAAAAGTACACCGTTTGCAAGATGTTTGCTGCTGGATTTGTATCGGTATTTCTTACTGTACTTATGACGCCTTTCCATTAATATACAGAGTTATAACATGCTACTTATATCATTTTTATAAAATAAGCTATTTTGAATGAGATTTTTTTTCACTTTAAAATCTAAATATTCTTGTTTTTACAGAGTACAAAATTTCCGAAGACAATTGAAGGTAAATAAAACCTATCAGTACAGCTTTGCTTAGCCCGAACCAGGAATGATTAGTAAACCCATGTTTGTCAGTAGTTTTCTATGAAATTATGTGCTACTATTTTGCACTAATTCTTCCATCAATCCTTCGTATTACTAGGCTCCAAATTCTAAAAATATTTACTATCCCTTCCCTTGACTACTTCCTAGTGGAGGTCGTCTCTATAGCCCCCCTGGTTAATTTTTGTTCATATTTAACTTCATGTTATTTCGTGAAAAAGCAGTATGGAACTCTGGTCCAAATTTCAGCTTTCTATGTTAATTTCTGAAAATCGGTGGGGGTCACCCCATAGGGTCCTTTCACTTCATATTCTTTCATTACGGGCCATTAGGAGCCTCTATACCAAATTTCAGCTCGATTGGATTATTTTGAAAAATCGGTATGGGTCACCCCTCGGGTACCTCGGGTGGACAAATTTTCCTATTTCACTTCATATTCTTTCATTAGGAGCCATTAGCAACCTCTGTACCAAATTTGAGCTTTCTATGACGATTTTGAAATTTTGGTGCATAATACCCCACCCACTCCGAAGACCCCCACCGGTCAACCACTGGACCGATGTCGCCCATCTTCGAACTCGTTTCCTAACTTTGTCCAATATGCATTGTAACGCTCCCTATTCGATTATGGGATTGCGTGTCCTGATTCACATCCACTTTCGCGGATGCCCCTTTTCTTTGTGACGTTGTGCAAGAAATTTGTAGTAGAAACTCACTTTTTTTTCAAGAATAATGAATAAATTTATTTACATCAATACCGACTGAA